GATTCTCTTGCCTCAGCCTCCCAAGTAGCTGGGAGTACAGGCGCCTGCCACAATGCTGGGCTATTTTTGTTGTTGCAGTTGTCGTTGTTTAGCAGTCCCGGGCGAGGTTCAAATCCACTAGCCTTGGTGTATGTGGCTGGCACCCTACCCACTTAGCTAAAAACACTGCCAGTGTGTGTGATGAACATATTTTAAGTGTGCTGTGGGGAATTTAATCATAAGGTTAAGTGTGCCATGAGATAAAAAAGTCTTTATCACTTTGCCTATATTCTTTAATAACAACAAAAAGACACAGATATTCCTTATTTGATTCCCGGTGAGTCTGGTCAAATCTGAAGGTGCTCACTGTATACATATTTCAGAAGTAAATCATCAGAGGTTTGCAATGTTTGGAATGAGAACATTGTCCTCCACCATTAGTGTCAATGACTCAGTGAGATGCTGAGAACTAAGTATCTGGCAATGGTTTAAGTTCCTCCCACTAATCCAAATTCCATGAAATCATTAAAAACATATAAATGTAAGACAGGCTTTATTCAATTTCTCCTTTGGCCTTCTGCCAGATTCCCATCCTTGTTGCCTTGCCTAAGTGAAGGTCCTGGCATGCAAATTCAGTTACACCAGGCATCAAGAATTAGACCAGGTTGGGTGCAGTAGCTCACATCTGTAATCCTAGCACTCTGGGAGGCCAAGGCAGGTGGATTGTCTGAGCTCAGGAGTTCAAGACCACCCTGAACAAGAGCAAGACCTTGTCTCTTAAAAAATAGCTGGGTGCTGTGGTGGATACCTGTAGTCCTAGCTACCAGGGAGGCTAAGGCAAGAGAATCGCTTTGAGCCCAAGAGTTTGAGATTGCTGTGAAGTATGACATCATGACACTCTATCAAAGGTGACAAAGTGAAACTCTGTCTCAAAAACAAAACAAAACCAACCAACCAACAAACAAAGAGTTAGATTAGCTCATTTATGCTGTGAAGTTGTGTTGAAGCCCACACCAGCCTGGAATAAATGGAGTCCCTCCCGCCTCATATGAGCCTGATAGTTCCTGACCTGTTTGAGTCTAGGGCCCCGAGCCTTGTAACAGGGTGTATTCTCAGTCCAGTGTGCACTACTGGCTCACATTCCTGATGAGACTTCTGTGTTCGTTTGTACATGATGAAAATCTCTGCCTCTGTAATGCCAATTTCCCTGCAAAATGATTCCCTCTCAAAGAAACATGTCTATGTTCCAAGTTGAAAATTCTACGTTAACTCACTGAGTTTTATGGATTAGGAAGGTGAGTTTAATTCCCTTACTCAACCCTCCATATCTTCCTTAGTATGTTAGACAAATTCCAGAGGGAATCTACAAAAAGACACCAATGGAGAGAAAACCTTTATTTGCATATTAACGAACGTGGGTGAAGTAAGAAGAGGCAAATGAGAACGAGATTAAGGTGGAAGGATCTTGGTGGAAGAGAAGACGGGCCCTTTGGAAATTCAGGAGAAAGAGCAGAGGCACTCTTGAAGTCACAGCCACAGCTAGTCCCTTGTTGGCATCTGAACTCTGCTCTCCTCTCGCTCTCTCCTGGGACTTTTCTTTCCTTAGCTCACAGTCTCACTGTTGGCACCCTTTCCTTGTCTCACAGTTCCAGGGTGTTTCCTCCCCCAAATCCAACGGAGGAGTGCAACTTCACAGCCAGTAGGCTGGGGCAGCAACTACTCAGAAGCTGTTACTTGGATTTTTTGTACCTCTTAGTGATTTTGACACCCCTGGACCGCCAGGAATGGTCCCTCCTACCACCAGAGGACTCTGGCTTTTCTAATAAGGAAGGTCCTGGCCAATCAGTCCATGAAGGGCCTGGATTCTCCTCCAGGCTGGTGTCTCTCAAGAAATGCTCCTGAGGGTGGAAGGTGTTGCTACAGCAGGGGATGTCACTTGAGTTTTCAGGTATGTAGTCTGTGGTGAAAGAAAGGTGGGAGAGGAAAACTCAACCCTCTCTTTCTCCCAAGTGTGGGTCCTTAAGCCATTTTCTTTCCAAAGCCAAAGGCCTCAACTGAAAGTCCTGCTTTGGTGGCATGCCTTCTTCCTTTTCCAGGCACCTCCCACCCCTCAGTTGTTAGACCAGCCCATTCCTCCAGCCTCACCTGCGGCTGAAGCAGAGGATGAACATTCTTCACACTCCCATTTCTTACTGTTAGATCTAAGAGAGGAGCAGCTCCTGTGGGTTCCATGGGATCCGCAGGTAGCACACAGAATGAGGCGCCACCTCCTAAAGAAGAGCCAAGGAAGAGTTGTGGAGACAAATAGAATACTAACTACCATTCTTGGATGTTGGTTATGGGCCAGTCTCAGCTCTGCTTAGGGCTTCCCAGACATTTTTTGCTGTATATTTTATACATCAAGGATGCATGGCTCAGAAAGGCTAAGTGCTGATCCTACGAGGCTTCAGTCAGCACAGCCCGTTGTAAGGTGGATTTGGAAAGGAATTAATCCTGAGTGTCTCTCCATTGAACACAAGGAGGAGATCCTGCACAGGAAACCTGTTCATTTACACACGAGTGAGTCAGGGGCAAGTCAAGGAAGGGAATTAGCAATTGTGTTCACCCTCAGATCTGCAGAAAAAACTCATTTTTTGCTCCTAACATCTCTGCCAAGTTCTGACAGTAAGATGGCACTGACTGACAAAAACTCTTTCTAGACAAAAGCCTTTCCTTACCCTTCATCCTCAAAGCTGTCTCTGCCTTGTTCATAAAGACAGGTGGGGGCATCGCAATGCTGATAGCGCTGATACAACTCTGAAAAAGCCCCTGGCTCAAGTTCCCAGGCAGCATCTCTGCAGTAGGAGAAGAAACTGAGTAAGGAACACACAATCACTTCATGAAACTCTTGTCCATCAAGGAAGAACCAGGAGACCCCAAGGAAGGCACAGTAAGAGATCAACAAGCTGCTTGAACACTTCCAACAAGGCTGAGCAAATAGCCTGGCAGTGGAAAAGGGTTGAAGCAGGATGAGTGGAACATAAGAGTTTCTTAGTTCTACTCTGTAACTCAAGAACCCAATACTCCAGGCAATTCTGATCCCCAAAATGCTCTTTTCAGAAACACATCCCCCTCCAACTTTTTCTCCCTCCTTTTTCATTTGATAATTAAAAAGCACTCCCTTCACTTCTTCTCTCTTCACTATCATTGCCTCTGCTGCTCCTATCCTCTGTCTCACTGACCTCCTCTATAGAATAGAGGTAGGTAACCCACTTCTTGGCTAAATTCCAGCTTTAAGGTTTCCACTACCTGTCTGGAATGTGAATTCCCATTCTTAACATTTCTTTAGGAAACTCTTCTCGATTGTTACACTGTGGACATTTGAAGAAATGCTTTGCTGAGGTATGGGCATATTTCTGTAAGAAAAACATGGAAAAACTTAGTGTCTGTAAAAACACTTTGACTATCTTCTTTCCACTCTCATCCTCATCCCACAAAGAGGATGTTGTAAGAGAGCTTCACCGGGGGTGCAGGAAAAGGAGTTTGGATGGGCTAGGGTGAGGGCTGCAAATCTAGGTGTTAGACCTGGGACCAAAATATTTTCAAGAGAGTTCCCAGGAGTGTCTCAGTTGTCATCTCTGCCATGGGGCTTGGCAGTGTGAAGTAGAGATCAGGACACTGGATACATGTTTCTCTTTTCTTCATCCCAAGAAGGGAGACTGATGTTAAGGGTACCTGACTCATTCTGGGATGAGTCCATTCACTCTAGCAAACTTGAGTATTTGGCTTAGTTTAAATCTTATCATGAATGAGGTCCTGCTGGGTGCAGTGGCTCATGCCTATAAATCCCAGAACTTTGGAAGGTGGGGGCAAAAGGATCACTTGAGGGCAAGAAACTAGCCTAAGCAACATAGCAAGACCCCATCTCTACAAAATGTTTTAAAAATTAGCTGGACATGATGGTACATGTCTACAGTCCCAGGTATTAGAGAGGCTAAGGCATAAGGATCTCTTGAGCCAAGCAGTTCAAGGCTGCAGTGAACTATGATAGCGTCACACACTCCAGCCTCAGCAACAGAGCAAGATCCTGTCTCTAAAACAAAAAATAATAAAAATCAAAATTAAGAAAATGAATGAGGTCCCATAGGCCAAGGATGACCAGAGACTGGGCTAACTTTCCTCTAACTGCCTGAAATCAGCCCTGCACACAGGCCTTCAGCACAGAATTGTGGCAGGTCCCCAGAGCAGAGATAACCCCACCTGTATGCACTTGCGGTGGTAGACAGCTTGACTACAACACGGGCTCTGGATGTTCTCAATACTTGCTTGGGATAAATCTTCACAACATAAGACACAGCTTTCTTCCCCTACGTTCCCCTGTTGGAAGTCCTGTTTTGGGCGATGTTTTCCACAAAATGATCTGTAGCAGGGTAAACAGATTTGGTTTCTGGTTTGTCACTGATGCAGTTTTCTAGGTGCCTGGTCTAGGAAGGGTGCTGAGCATCCAGGCTGGTGCTCAGTGAACCTCCATGTTCATGGGGAGAAGAAACAGGGTGAAAAACAGTCACATGTCTTCTCATGGCTGCTCTCCCACCAAGCAAAGCTTCCAGGACTTTCTGCACAGCCTCTTGTTCCTGAAGGCCCCAATTAGTTCTGAGCAGCTGTCTATGAACCCCAGCTGTTTGTAATTTAAGGAGGGGCTGGGAAGCAAGAAGAAACCCAAGTCAAGACATTGTTTCTTATCACTGAATAGAGGGACAGATTCCCTGGCGAACTGAAACAGGCCTGTGAGAATGAGACTCTGATTTCGTTAGTGGCTAAATAGTAAGTTTCAAAAGGGCAGCCCAACTTTTCCCCTTCCTCACTCACTTGTACTCTCCAAAAAATTGTGAAAGGCAACCCCTTTCTTGGCCACAAGGCAGATGGAAGTTTCTGACGCACTGATCCTTCTGGCAGTTGATAGCAGCTCCCTTTTTCTTGCACACAAAGCAGATCTGCAAATGAGATCCAGAGGTGCTCAGGATACCCACCCCCACTCCACAGGCAGACATGTCATGGGATATCTTTCTATGGAATGGAAATCATGTGAAGCAACAGCCATTCCCTTTTCTCAGTGGTCCTGAAAGCTTTGGGGGCACCCAGAAGCTGAGCTTTGGGCAGCATTGCATCTTTTTTGTTTTCTCAGGATATAGCTCCCTCTCATTTAGGATACTACACCCCAGAAGAATAAAACTTAAGAGAAAGAGCAGTTGGGAAATCTAAATATCCCTTAACTTCTAAACTAGCAACTAGGGAAAAGAGCAGAAAGAGGGATAATGAGAGAGGTACAAGAAGAGGCCAACCCCAGGTTCCCCATTTCAGGGGATTCTAACCTTCCTAGAAGCCCGGGCTGCCTCCTTTTTGATGTCTTCAGGTAGGAATCCATGAAAACCTCTGTTGGACTGGCCCCTCTGAGGCAGCTTGCTAGATAGGATCTGAGGGGCAGCAGAACCAGGCTGTCAAATCAATTATCCATGAAACAGTACACTGAGGTGAGGAGGATGACAGGGTAAGAGAGCTAAGGAATTCAGAGCTTGGTGGAATATATATCATTTATAGGGTACTTTATTTAATGAAGGCTTATATACTATGTATTGGGTACTAAGCACTTTTCAAATATTAACTCACTGAATCCTCCTATCAACCCTAAGATGTAGAGAATATTATCATCCACATTTTCTCAGAGGGGTGGGGAATCTGTGGCCTTCTGGATCATAGAGGCCTTTTGACTAAATCCAAATTTTATAGAACAAATAAGGGGATTTGTTCTGTGAAGTTTTGATTCAGTTCAGGGGCCACACTTGGGGATCAAAAGGGTCACATGTGGCCTTGAGGCCTCAGGTTATCCACTCCACCCACCTCTGTGTTATGATGCCTCTCCTCTACTGAGGGCTGCTCTTATGTGCTGAGCTCTTTGAGGAAACACTCCCTCTGTAATGACTCATTTTATGCTTACCAAAACCCTATGACATAGATGCTACTCTGACTCTCATCTTATGGGGGGACCCTGAGGTGCAGCCCAGTAAGTGACAAGGCTGAGATCACATGAGAGAGGAGGAGCAAAACTGTTATTCACACCTGGGCCCATGGAACCTACACTCTTACCCTTCCTGCTGTATTGTCCCTCAGTACAGAATGAATACTCTTCTCAGAGTACTACAGGAAGGAAAAAAGGGTTTTAAAATCTCCTGACTATGGTCATTCTACATTATAGGGGTGGGGAAGGAGTTAGATATTTCTTTTAAAAACACACTTTAGGGCAGCACCTGTAGCTCAGTAGGTAGGGTGCCGGCCACATACACCAAGGCTGGAGGGTTTGAATGCGCCTGGGCCAGCTAAACAA